CCATACTGGAGGTGTCATTGGTGTTTCAACATCAGTGTAGCTCATAACTGAATGAAAATAGTCCCCAAAAAACAAGCTGTACAACACTAATCTTGATTTCAAAACTATTCATGATCCCCTCCACAATTCCTCAGATATTGCTCCCACTGAAACTATGTCCACTGCAGAAAATCTGACACGTATTTCTACTCGGAGTGTGTATGGTAGCAGCTTCTGACCATTAGCTCCTGGTAATGCACTGTTTCTTCAACAGGACAAGACCTGTATCATCAAATATTTACTTCACAACTGAGTACTTAAAGATTTTGACCAAGACACCCCTTAGCCTTTTCATCAATAATAGACTGACCTTCTTGAGCCACACTCTGATCCCCTGGCTTCCACTCTTTTGTTCATTCATGTGGAGCTTTCCTGAACTCCCTCCAATTTTCCCAGTGCCTTGGTGCTCTGCTGAACAGAGCAGGGTGCAGCATCCTTCTACAGCAGTCACATCAATGCCCAGTTCTCATGTTACAGACTTTCCTCTTCCTGTCCAGTGTTTTTATCTCTTACCCTCCTGTAGATCACCCTATCCTTCCTGACCATTTTTGCTCTTTGGTCCCTTCTCCCTGCTTTCTAGTATTGAGTCTCTTATCCTCTGGAAGTATTCATCCAATGGTGTCACAAGGAAAGCAAGAACATAATACAATGAGGTTTACAATACTTACTGGTGACAGGGGGTGCATGGCAGCCTCCTGAAACAGGTAGACAGCCATATTTTTTTCCATAGATCTCCTTAATTCTACAGATATTGGTCTCAGGACAGCATAGTGTGCTAGAGCAGAGTCATTAACCACGAACCCTACAGTGCATACATGCAACTAGCTGTGCCCTTTTGTGTGCTAAATCCTTATCATCGTCCTGAGGGTAGCAGTGCCACAAAAGACTACACACTCATCTAGCAGGTATTCCTGGAAGTCTGGAGATTTCTGGAGTTCTATATCCATTAACACCAGCTGAAGCAGCATGGCTTGAGGCTCATTTTCTTGAGGCTGATCATTGTATATCTTTCTTTTAGAAAATTATTCTTTGTTCTTCCCTTAATTAGTTCATTTACTTGATTTATATCTATAGGCACGTTTCAGTGACAGTGATGGAGGAACCAAGCCCATATTCCTCTCACAAATCTTCTTTATTTTCCTTTTGCCTATGAATATATAGAGACAACTGCTTTGTCTTAATAGCACCGCAAAGGACTACTTCAGTGGTTTGTAATACTTCACCATCTGGTGGAGGAATACTTCACCACTTGGAGGAAGACAGAATCCCTTTCTTAAAGCTTTTTCTACCTGAGGCAACACCATGCAAAAGCATGATAGTCATTGCAAGCACAAGCCTTTTACCTTCACTTTTGTTTTCATGATGCTTCATTTACTTATTAAACAAAATGCATGACAGCCATATGTGGTCTTTTGTTAATAACTGGCTATTTCAGTGCCCGAAGTTGGGTGATATAAATACCTTGCTATGATCCAGAAAGTTATTTTAGACCATCATCCTGTTCAAACTGTCCCATTTCTGTAGCACAGAATCATGCAACAAGTCAGTATGAGTGAAAACATGAGCTTACACCTTCAGGCTAAATCTGACTGTCACAAGGATTTCCCTGGGAAAAAAGAGGGGGAAAAAAAAAAAAAAAGCCAAAACCAAAACAACTTCCTTTCCCATTTCCATCTGTTAACTCACACTTCTGCCTGGTGAAAAGCCTCAGTGAGAAACAGTTTCTTCGATACCAGCCGTGGATGGAGTGGGCTGAGTCAGGGAAAGTAGTCTGCAACCATCTTCTATTCAGATGTATGTCAGCTTCTCCTTCTTGTAGTGATGGATTCTGGAACTTTAATTTGTGTCTTCAATTGCCAGAATAAAAATTGCAAATACCTCACCTTCTTATTCAAGTGGTTGGCTATTACATTAAAGGCCTTTTTTTCCTGGTAAAGCATGAACCGGTAAAGCCAGGCAGTAAAAAAGCTCTTAAAATTCTCCATGTGATTTGTACTACCATGTCTTCATTCAGAGAAAGCCTTTCATAGAGCCAGTAGTCAGAAAGGCCCAAAATATCAGCAGAAGAACTCACAGCAGGAACAAAGAATTTATAAGCATCAAAGGGTGAGTGGTACCTTATATTTTGTCATCACAGACTATTCCTGTCTGAAATATCAGGAGTTGAAAACCATGTATATGCTTTTGTCATCCTTATACATGTCTTCTATCAGAATCTGAAGAAAATATGTGGATAGGGTGATTGTAAAATATGTTTTCAGGCCTGAACCTGCCCCTAAAGTCTAGCTTGCAGAAACAGGCTTTCATCTTTCTACCTTGGAAAGTCTCTTTCTAATGGCAGATGTGACAGATAAGAAAGCTATGTGATTGTGCACAGTATCAGCATGAATGGCCACTGAGAAAGGTCATTAGCCTAACCCCATTTTATCCTACTACTGCTTTAAAGAAAAAGAAGCAATTTAAATATTTGGTGTTAAAACAAGCATATGTAAAGATGACTTTGAAATACATTTATGGCCCAAATTTTTTAGAACAAGATATGTTAAGTGAGAAACTATGACAGATAGATGCAGTGGTGGTACATGCCAAAGCTACAGTTAAATTATGAATCCAGACCAGGTACATGCATCAGCACACACACAAAATTCTGAAGTCTTTGGCCTGTCACTTGCAGAAGCTCACATACTACTAATATTCAATGTCTAGCAAGAGCTGTTTTGTCTTCCTAGCAATAGCAGCAAAAGACTGATGCCTGGATATTATTATTACAATATAATATCTGACAATGATTCTATACATCTTACATTTCACAGCAAATAAAACTTCTGGCAAGGAAACTTGATCATCATATATAAGCAGGTAGAAAACATTTTGGAGAGTATGTTATTAAATCACTGTCTCACAGAGAAATTTTGCTGTGACCTTCCTTCTACAGCATATTGTAAGCAGCCTTTATGCAGTTCTCAGAACAGCTGTAGAAGACACATCAAGATTGCATCTCATGAATAGACTAAATGCCTTCTCCACTCCAAATGTCTCTCACTGTAGTCTACCTTCACAGAATCTTCTTGGTTTTCATATGGTTTCCAAGTCTCAGGGATCTCTGATCTAGCTGTGTTGATTTCTTTAGGACTTTTAGGAAGAACCCATTGTGTGAAGGAAACCAAAGGCAGCTAAACAGTGTGCCCATCATTTTGTCATCTTTCAGACTATCCTCACTTCTTCTCTTAAGGAGTGGCAGAAATCCCTAACAACATGGTTCATTCTTCAAATTCATGATAAGAACTCATGGAACCACGGTTAGAGTGTTACCTGTTCAGCCGTGGGCTGAATGAAGTAATTGTTAACTAAGTCAGCAAATTGTTGGAACAGTCTACCTGTGGCAGAGAAAATTCAGATCAGGAGAGGTAATCACAAGGATGCTGCTCAAGGCTTTGGAATCTCCTGAGCCACAAAAAGCAAGAAGCAAAAGGATCCTTTAGTCAGATTTCTCAATCCCCTCTATGTGATGTTCTTCCCACTACTGAGCACAGCCAGAGATGTGCCAGTGGTCCAGTCTGGTGTGCCCATCTCTTGTTCTAAGACAGAAGGCAAAGCTCAAGGTTTTCCTTCCATGGGCTGAGCTGAAAGACCAGTGTCCATGGGCTCAGCAATTTTTTGGGGAATTGTCTCTGCTGAAGGAGTCTATTGTGATTTGGTTCTTGATAGCAAGGGAGTCAGGAGGGTTGGAAGTGTGGGGTGAGATGTGTCTAATAAGCCTAGTAGAGTAAGGAGAAGACAGAATGTGCACTCCATCCATTAGGATGCTGCAGTGTTACAGAGAAATCTTTACCAATTAAAGTGAGAGTCAGACGTGTGAGGGAAGTTTTGTGCCAGGGAGGTGAACGTGTTATCTATAATGGAACAAAGGCTGAGTGAGTTGTCATGAGTAAGATATGAAACATCAAAAAAAAAAAAAAAAAGTCAAGAAAACTTATGCAAAACCTGAGCTCCAGAAAGATCAAAAAAAAAAAAAAAAGAATTTCTAAACGTTTCTCTGTACACAGTTCATTTTTTCCTGATCCATGGGCATGAACTGTATTCCAAAATAAAAAGACAAAGAAACTCCCAGTAGAACTATTTTTTATCAGAGCCTTATAAGGAATATTTTGCATCTTGCTTACTAGTTCCACTTGGCCCAGATATATAGTGACCAGAATTATAAACACTTTCTGGCCACTAGATTCTCCTTGTGAAGTACCCAGAAAAGGGTTGTACACGTCACAAGAAACATATCAAATGATGGCATTTATTATCCTCTTCCCCAGGCTGGGCGTTCTGAGAAATAAGGCAAAAATGAATGAGTCAGAGAAAGAGAACCACTCCATCACCTCAAGAAAAAACTGGGACAGACACCTAGCCCTTCAGGTCTATTCAAGTACATTCTTCTCCTGTGCTCACCAGCCCACTGCCTGACACCAGTGTGGTAAGCAGTATGACTAATATCTAGCATATGTTGTTTGCTTTCTCATTCCTTCCAGAGGAAGCAGCATATGCACTAGTGTGTCTTGTCTGACAGGATTTTCTGCTGTCCTTTTATATAGAGGTGCTGCTCTGCACTGATCCTACAGAAAGCAGGTCCAAAAGGAACAGACCCTGTGCTTTAATGGGAAGGTGGCGAGGTATGGGACAGTGCTTAATTCTTGCCTGTGTTTGTTCTCCAGTCTCTGAAGAATGAGAAAGTTTTGCCTGACTTTCACACAGGCTTTACTCTGACTATAGAGTATTGTGTAATGTTATCACATGGCTTCTCAGGCCAGCAGCTTTTGGCAGTCACTATCTTTGCCTTAGAACAGAAAAATTCAACCTCTTGAGCATATCACCAAGCCAGGCCTGAGAAATATTGCTAGAGAGCTGATCAAACATTTGGATGCACTTTCTGTGAGTTAGCTAGCAAGGCCAGCCCCTTCTGCTGACGTCTTTCCTCTCTATCACACATCAGACTTTTCCCAGTGGAGCTGGAGAATAGGCTTCAATGAAAACTGCCTGTTTGCAGTTATATGGAGATTGCAGGCACTACAACCACTATTTCCTTAATGTAACCTGGAGCAGAACCTCCATCATCAGGATAGAAAGGTAGCCTTGTTGCCTAGCAAAGGTGGGATGATTTATCCGTGTCTCTAGATTGGTCCTTTTTCTTTTCTGCACAACAGAATTGCTTCCAGACTTCCAAGGAGAATGAAGCCAGGCTAAAAATCGGAGTGGATGTGGCAGAGCTGCTCTCGCAGCGAGTAGGATAGTCACAGGGTTTCTGCTCTTTCTGTTCCTGTGCAGCACAGGACAATGGTTTTGTCTGCTCCAGTTATAGCCCTGGGGGCTACCTTAGGGACTGCAACTAGCATCCTTGCCCTCTGCGGTCTCACCTGCTTCTGCAAATGCAAGCAACCTGGGAAAGGACTCTCAGAAAAGGACCAAGAGGAGGAGACGGAAAATCCTAAGCCCAGCGTGCTTCAGCCAGTCCAGCAAGTAAGACACAGTCTCTAATTTACTCTGTGATTTTTCTTAAATGCAACTTCCCTGTTAGGCTACTCAGCATGTGATTTATGCTGCCTGTTTATCTGCTTACTGTGTTTAGGATGTAACAATATGCTAGTGGGAGGAGGAGTGAGGGAAAAACAGAGATGAACTGGGTAACACAGAATTACCGGAGCAGGAGACAGCTGCCTCACTGCCAAAGAGAAAGCTGCTAATGGCAAAAATGGGGGAGAAAGACTTGAAATGGTGTTTAGCTGTCAAGATAGATCACAAGGGAAATAATTTCCTGAGAGGAGAAGACTGGACTGTACCAGGTGGCATGCAGCTTTGTGAAAAAAACATGACTCCTGCTGAGATCTCATATAGCAGCTGTTTAACTCTATTCAAATTATCTTACAGTTCTTGCAGGATAGTTCCCTGCCAACAGCTGATTTCTTGTGAAAACCTTTCATCCTCATCCCTCTGCCCCTCTAACTGAGGGGATTAATTAGTGTGAAGTTAAAAAAAGGCATTGAAATTACAATAAAAAGCAAGTGAGGATCTAGACTGTGGTGACTGGGCAATCTCATCACACTGTGAATTTCTTTTTCACTTACTGTAAGAGCAATGTGGAGCATGAAAAGTGTCAGGCATCCCTGTGTGCTCTTTTATTCTTGTTAAAATCCAAATGCCCCGATTTACTCCTGAGCTCAATGCAAGAGAGAACAAGGAAAATTACAGGACCCTTCTAAGGTACTTATTAATGGGAATCTCTTCTTCAAATGGAAATGTTAGATGAATTCCTTGGCTGACTATGGTCTTTAGCATGAGCTACAGTCAGTCTCTGAAAGTATTACCTATTGGTTGTTGCTCCTGATACTTGTATTTGCCTGCATCCTTTTCACTTCCACTTAGCCATTTAACCAAGTGTTATGCCATACAGCCAATTCCAAAGGCCAGTGATCCATCGTATAACAGTCTTTGTTGGTCTTTTAATTATTTGACCTTCCTATTATTTTTGTACTCTTAAAGTGTGCTGCAGGAGTCCTAACTGAACTTCTCTATAATGTTTGTAATTAAATATTCAGTCTCTCTTTGGCTTCCACTCTTAGGCTTTTAGTAGAAAAGAAACCTGGTATCTTCATGCTCCTGTTACAGTTAATTCTGAGGAAAGATGACCAAATCTACAAACTGTATTGTAAGAACTGGTGCAGATATACAGAACGGCATTACCAGAACTTGTGATTGCTGGAGGGGGAAAGGGATGTGAGAAAGGAAGGCCCTGCTGACCATGGATTAACGTCTGCATGGAGTTTAGGACTTCTCAAGAGATTGCTGCTAATTCTGAGCCTTCATCCATGAGCACGGAGTATCAGTTTGCATTTTGTTAGGATGAATTTCCCCTGCTATTCTGCTTAGCAGCTTAGTAATGTCCTTTGCAGGTTCCTTTCTTGTCTTTTCTACCCTATACAGGGGATTTGCCAATGTCTGTATATAAGAATGCACAATTATGCTGAGATTTTCCAAGTTTACTCTTACCATGAATGAGAAATGTGTAACTTGACAGCCATATCACTTTGTACAGCAGTTTTTCTAGCTGTTGTCTGGAGTAACACTACCCAGAGATAACTTTACCATGAGATTCTTTCTACAAGAAACTTTTTGTTGTTGTAATCTAGCTCAGAAGTATCTCAGAACTTTATTTTAACTCCATCATTGGACTGGATTTCTTTTCTTTTATACGCCTTTTGGGAAACACCTTGGGAAAGTGTTAATCCATCCTCAACCTTGTCCACTGGCGTGTTACCCTGCTTAAATGACTGAAATAAGCATTCAGTCTCCATATTGTCCAACGAAGCCTCAGGTACCAAAGAGCTATTCAGTTACGGTTCTCACAATATTTTTACATTCATCAGGTCTTGCCATTTCTTAATCCAGTATTTGACCAACAAGGGATCAAATTTTTCACCTGCCCTCAATGTATCACTATTACCTGAGTGATTGCATTCTTTTAGCATTTTAGACTTTTTAATTTGAAGTATTATTTATAGTGTTACTGGCTTTGGTTTTTTTTAAAGTAATCTGGACCAATTATAGCAGTCAAGTAAACATTCTGTCACAGAAAGTGCAAAATATTCTTAGTTTGCATATTCTGTACGTTTAGCAATTCTTTCCAATTAAAACAGTTTTCTTGCCAGGAACATGTATTTTCCTGCGCTGTCACTGATTCAGAATCAGTCTATATACCTCCAAGAAATGAATCTCAATTTGAGTTCGGAGCGTGTGAAATTTTATCATCTCTGTCTATGTTTATAAATTGTTCTGTTGAGACTTTTTTCTGACTACATTAGTACACAGTATGTCCTAGTCAGTGTTTGACATACTTAATTATTGAAGCCTGTCAGGGCAACTGATTCTGATAAACAGAGATGACAAAGGAAAGATGAAGCAAGTCTGCATTTTATTCACTTGGCACGTCTCCCATGACAGCGATGCTTGTATTTGCTATAGACAGAGGCTCCCTGTGGACATGCCCTGCATTTGTGAGGAGGAAGAGTTCAAACACAAAGATACATCTCCAGAACAATGAAAATCTGCTGTAAATATGCAAAGTCTCGCAAAGCCTGCAGAACGAAGATTCCTAAATACATGCAGCAATGGCAACAATCCGGTGCTTTGTTTGAGTGACACTGGCCAGGGACCCAGAAGAGTCAGTTGCAACCTCCTTCCTATTTTGGTGTATTTGCTTTCATGCATTTTTACAAAACTGTCTGAACTGTCCTGCTCATCTCTTTATTTAAGACACTGCTGCTGATTTGCAAAGAAAATTTCCATAGGGCACTGCTATGTAACTGGATTAGCAGATAGCACTTGGGAAAAGAACTGGCAGCAAAATAATAAACAGAGGCAGATGCAGTTAGAAGAGGGAGTGGGCTAGTCCCACTGTGCTTGCATATGTCTCTCATCTCTAATTCTGCAGAGCAGACACACAAGAGGAATATTTAGACCCAGTGGAGCTCTTAGGTGCTGTGTGCTGATGGATTTCCTGACTACAGCCTGCCTGACTTTTAGCAAGAGGAAAAAAAAGATTGTACTAGCAATACCTCAAACTTGTATGGTGTTTTCATCCCAAAGGATCTCAAAGTGCTTCATGTGCTAGCAGCACAGAGCAATGCAGGCATGTAGCTCCGGTGTGATGGCCAGTGCCTACTAGGACAGCAGCCTTAAGCAGCAGTTTCAGGAGAGAGAATAGCAGAGACTGACCAGCATGTCAGGCCCTGTATGTGTGTTAGGTGTAATGGCTCTGCACAACAAAAGCATCCTGGCTTTTCAAGGCGTTATCCAGCGGTTCCTCACATATTTTGCTTGGTTGGTTTGCTTTAACTTTAGAAGAATGGAAAACTGCATTTAAGGTTTGCATGAGTTACTTCACATTTCCTAGAGGATTGATGAGGCTCACATCTCTGAAAGAGGGATCTCACTTACAGGCCCACACCATATGACTTACATAATAGCTAAGCACAGCTGAACACTAGGTGAGGATGGCACACAGTGACGTCTTTGTTTTTCAATACACTTTTCATTCAGAGCCCTTAAAGTTAGACAAGATAAAATGCTACGTTACATGGTAAACTTCCTAAACACTGATGCACTGGCTGCCTTGAGAAGATGGAATTACTCATCTAAATAATTCTCTACCACTGCCAAGTGTATGTAACCATGGTACTATGATCTCCATGAGCAGAATATGACTAAACAGCCAACATCCAAGACTGCTCTCTTCCTTCAGACTCTGTTCCTTGAGAAATAGGTATGCTTCCTCTGGGTATACAAGCTGGGACCTTGAAGTCCCAACACAGACAGTGCTTCAGGGCATCATCTACATTCATTATTAATAGGAAACAATAAGACTAATGAAAAACTTTATTTACAGTTATGAACCTTTTCTGTCTCACCCTTGATCTTGACATAAAACAGGTTGGCAGGCAGTAAGGTTGGAGATAATCCCACTTCACAATAATCAACCACAGTGTCTGGTTTACTTCTGCTTTTTGTCTCTCATGTTTTGGAAACATTAATAAAATCTGTTGCAAGGGTTGGGGTCATTTGCTAGTCAGCTTTTGTTCTTCCCTATTGATGAATCCAAACATAAATGAATCAGGAATGATTTCAGTTGTAAGCAGACTGGATCCTTTCTTGGGACACAAGGAAAAGAGGACTGTTATATTCCACTAAAATATTTTTCTTTGTTTATGGAGGACAATGATGCCTTTGTGCCAACCTTTTCTTGGACACTCTGAGCATCGCACTGTCTTTCAGGTTCTTCTGCTCATTCCATGTTCATGATTCAGCAGGGAATTGAAGTTTTAAGAACAAACTCAGGCATAAATCCAAATTTCAATCCTGGTGTAATAAAGAGCAAATATGTGTCTGAGGGTCAGATGAAGCTCTGGGCTAGAGAGGCTGAGATGACCATTGGATCAACTACTCTTGGTATTTCATTGCAGGGCTCATTTGTTCAACCAGTTCTCCTTTCTCTTATTACATCATGGTTGTACTTGATACACGTGACTATATGACCTGTCTCCTATCCTAATGTTTATTACATATCACTTAAAATATTCTGAAATCTATGGGTGGCTGTAGCCTCTTGCTCTTGGATTTGACTTCAAACATCAAAGTAAAAATTACCATGCATTAATCATAGCAAAATTAACTTAATGGTTAATTTCTGTCCTAAGAAGAAACACAGACTTATGAAAAGATTAACTGCTAGAGAAAGAGAGGAAAAATCAAATTATAAGAGGAATAAATCTGAAAAGACATACACCAAGTAGACAAGATATCTACCAAGTAGGAGGGTGTCAGCTTTGGCAAGAAAGTCTCTGGACTTACAGGCAGTGGTTTCTACAACCCCATAAAAAATGATGGTAGGACTGACCAGAGGCACCACTTTTTCTCTCTTTGTCTCAGATCATTTAATGCTGTGAGAATTGGAAGAATTAGTATAATTAGTTCAAAGTAATAAACAAGGTTTTAATTTTCAGTTCAACGTTAAGAAAACCGCAGAGCCAGTACAGCCTCGAGCACTCCTGAAGTTTCCCAACATTTATGGCCCCAAACCAGTAGTAACATCACCTGAAATTGTTAACTACACACAGTACTCTCTGAAGACTACGGAAGAACCAGCTACTGGAAAACCTACTAGCTTGGATGAGAACAGGATGAAGATACAAGTCAATGAAGAGCTGTTTGTTCTCCCTCAAAACGGTAGGAGTTTTTGGTCTTTGGACTAACAATTGCTTTTCTGGGTGTAGATCTGTGATACTTCTCAGCACAATGTGATTTTTCTTAGAGATATAAATGTGAAAATGAAGATATGGGATGGTTTTCGCTCCCCTTTTATGAGCACTGTGAGTTCTGTCTTCAACATATTTGTTAACAGAAGGTAGTCATGGAGTTCATCAGAACATTCAGATAACAAAGCTGTATTGTGTCTTGTTGCAATGCTTTTTTTTTTACCTGAATATCTTTTGTGTTGAAGAATCTGCCTCACTGGTAGCAAACAATCTGTAGAAATGTGCATTTAGTGTAGTTTTACCAAAAGCAGTTGCCAGAGTATGTGTGAAATATCTGGTGAAAATTGAGCAGAGTATCTCCTCCAGGACAAATGCCAGCTGTCCAGCAACTGTCTTTGTCGGGGACAGTGGGATTTAAAGCTTCTAAGCCTCTAATTTTCTCTGCTCCTTTTTTTCCTTTGGTTTGGTGAGATGGTCTTGGCTTGTTGTAATGCACAGTGAAACTGAAGGCTGACACCTCAAATATTTTTGCCACACAGGATTCCTGTTTCCCATCCAGCCCAAAGGGTTACACTCCAAAACCTGAAACATAAGATTTTTGGAGCCTTAGAGAAAATTCATTGTTAATTATATACATCTGGCAGCATATCTGGATTGCTTCCATACTGATTTTTAACTTCACAGCTACCTTTGAACAGGATAATTGATTCTTCTGGCTACCATGCTAATAAAACCTTCCTGAAGATTAGCCAGAGAGCCAATGTCATCTGTCATGACTTTTACTGAATACTCTTTTGGGTTTTTTTTAATTGCTTGAGATTATATTTTTGCTGTTCTGGAAAGATGATTGCTACATTCAACCCTTATGAGACTTATGAGTATGGAAAAAAAGTACCATAGGAAGCAGCTGCATTGGCGGAAGAGTCTGTCTGAGGCACATCCTTAGGTGTCAGGAAGAAGATTATAGGGTGGAGAAGATGAAGAATGATGGCTGCATTTAGGCTAAATCTTTATGTAAGTGTGTTGGTGTAAGAGCCTCTCTGCACTGCTAATGGTACAAGCAACTTTCCTTCCTGCTCTGCCTGATTTCATAGCTCAAGTGGTGCTAAAATTAAGCAAGAATCATTGCATTCTCTTTTTGGTGCCACAATGAACTGGTCTGAACTGTGTCTGAGATTTTTAGGAGGACATGTTCTGGTTCCACTATTGTTTTCCATGTGAATCAGAACTGACATGGCAGATTACAGCTTTTGATGACAAAAATCTCTGGCTTCTCTTTTAGTCTTGCAACTTGCTTTATTTCAGTATAAAATACATACTCAGCTCTAAAATCACACATTGAAAAACTGCCTCTAGTATTCTCAAGTTCATTGTTTTCTACCTGATCAGGTGCTATGGAATTAGATGCCTTTTGCATGACAAAGACTTTGTTAAAATCTAAAAAAACTTTTAGAGAGGTCTGACCTGATGCAGAATTGCACAGCAGCTCAAAAGCAGACTCACATTCTCATTACAGAGAACATACGATTCAATTTAACAATGCAAGTTAAAACAACATAAAACAACATAACAAGTAATTTAGACATCTTGGCCTAGGAATAAGGTAAAAGAACCATCATAAAGCACAATGTGGTGGACTGCAAAAGGCTTGTCCAGGTGCTGTAGAAAGAGCCGAAAGTGTGAGTAAACAGAGCAAAAATGAGACATGATGATGGAGGAAGAAGGAAAATAAATTATATTCCTGCACACAAGGTGCAGGAATAGTAAGACATTCAGAAAAGCTGAGTCAAGAGAGGATGGATTTGTTCTCCTGGGAAGGTGAAGACCTGCTTGCTAAAGGGGTTATTTCAGTTCCAGGTGTGGTAAAGGATGTGTGTGTCACAGAGCACCTGAACCCTGAGAGGGCAGCCAGCTGTAACCAGGCCCCTGAGCTGCACTACTCCCTTGCGTACGATCAACAAAGGGCCGAGCTGCGTGTGGCACTTCTGGAAGGTAAGGGGGAGAGACCTTCTGATCTGAATGGTACAAGACACCTATTGAGATTATATTTATAGAGAGTTCCCCTCCTACCTTAAAAGCAACATGTGTTCCCAGGACCATTTGATGTTTCACCGGTTCTGGGTTTGCAGAACAGAAATATTTGGCAATGTCACTGTTCGAAGTGAGTGTGCAGGGCATGGCTTGGGAACAATTGTTTGCACATCTCAAAAGCAGGATTCAGGAACCATGATGGGTTCCTCCAATCCCAGACATGGTACAAAGCAACCTCTTCTTTTTATATTTTCCTTTGGGGGCAGGGAGGGTGTAGGAGGGAAGTGGGCTACTATCTCCTTCCTCTCTCCACCTTTCATTCTTCAACTTGACCCACTTCCTACTGCCTCTTCCTCAAGTCAAGTCAAAGGCTGAGCTGGAGACGCCAGACTTATTTTGAGGAAGAACCCTCTGGCTGTGCTTGACCAGGCAGCCAGCTTCTGTGTCACTCTTTGAAGTAGGAACTGACAACTGTAACAGCTTCTCCACTCAGGCTGGAGCATCATCAGTTCCTCTGGGAAAGTAAAAAAAGCTGACTGAATAATTCATGCACAGTGCAGATCTCTGTGGAAACCTAATCAAATCACACCCTCTGAAGTGAGAACTGAAAAGGTGCTGAATGGCAGCCACTGCTGTGGGCCTGATGCCAGCAGCAAGCTCACAGTTCCCCACCAGCATGGACACCCACGCCTGCTGGCTGCCACCCTGGCACTCCTGTGCGCATGTTCCTCCCTGGGTACCCTAGTGCCACCAGGGAAGGAGCAGGGTCTGCTACCCAGTTCTGCTCCCCTGAGAAACCAGGAGAGCCCTGTGACCCATGCCCTGTGGTCCTGGCAGCTCAGGAGCAGCTGTCCTTGGACTGGCTGCAGCAAGGACAGCAATTTTGCCCACAAAGTCCTGATGCTCCATGACCCCTTGGAGAAAGGTATGTTCCTCTTGCTGTGGAGAAGATAATGCAGTTCTATTGATGCAACTGGAGTGTGAAATGCCATTCTCACTCTAGGCTTTTCAACAAAAAAGCAATATAAAATTAGAGATGAATGTCTCTTGACATAGATCTTTTGGGCTGTGGTATGGCTTCTGACAGATTCTTTTACCAGAGGTTGAATGAGCCTAATGAAATAACCCTTAGACTTATCCCCCACTGGCCTGCAGGGATGGATGTGTGCCAAGGGGGAGGTCTACCTCATTTCTGATGTCTGTGACTGACCTTCCTGCTTTTAAAGTCTTTGTAAGAGGCTCTTTTGTGTGCCAAGGTAAAAGTAAATGAGAGCTGCCAATTCCTGTACCACACTGTCTCATCTCATTGCTGTTCTGCATCTTTCAACAGACCATGTTCCCTTGAACTCAGCTGTTGCTCTCCCAAACACTAGCAGCATCCTTCTGCAGTGGCAGAAGGACAGGGGCATTGTGCAGCATGATGGAAACACCAGAGCATGAGCTCACAGCTTAGCCTGCTCCATGCAAGCAGGAATGGGGGTCGATGTCTATGCAGCTGTTTTATTTTATGGCTCTCATGAAATAAGCGATTTAGCCACAGATACTTCGGGGTTGTCTTTTGTGAGAGGTCCTTACTATCAATCTTTTCCAGCTATGCATGGCAGAATGAGTGCGGAACAAGACGCTGGCTGCCATTGCTACATTCTGGGCACACTGGTGAGCAAGTCTGGTATTGCTGAGGCCCAGACAGAGCTGAAGAAGAAGGTACTTCACACCCTTTGGGAGGAGGTCCTGCGATTCCCATTAACTGAGGAGGAGATGCCAGAGGGGACACTGACTCTCACCCTGAGAAACTGCGACAAGTTCTCCAGACACAGCATTGTGGGGGAACTCAAACTGAACCTTGCTGAGATGGAGGAATCCTTTGGGAAGGCCCAGTGGGAAAGGCTAAAGAGTCCAGAGAAGGTATGGACTCAGTCTGTGTTGGTAGTCCAGAAACCCTAATGATTAATAGTTTGGACAAGACAAGCCCTTTTGCTAGATGGCTCCATGTGGGCGGTTGGCTTTATTTGTTTGGAGCAGGTTTAGAGGGTTGATGTGGGACTGCAGAGGTCACCCAGCAGTGCTCTGTGGTCTGTAGATAACATTTCAGAAGCAGAGGCCCATCAACCCAGCCCTTTCATCTACTGCTCCCAGCAGTTCACATGTGTCACAACTCCCTCAGCTCCTCCTCAATTCCATGACAATCTGATACTGACATCTGTAATTCAAAAGCTTTGTCTAGAAAAAGGTATGTGAGTTTCTGAGACCACAGTGGCAAGAGCTGAAACACCAGAGAGCGCCTACAGCGCCTGATGGAGGGCCTCTGCTAAGCTGTGTTGGTAGGGCACTCAGTGGCATCCCAGAGAGCCTTAAGCAAGCAGTCAAATACATTTTTGGGACCAAAATGTTGGACTGAAGACCACTTATTTTTACTGGGATCAATCCACTGCTATTTGCTTTGGGAGATGTCAAAATATCATTCATTGCATCGTGTTGGTTTTCTTAAACATCAAAACCTTCCTTTCCTTCCTTATCCGCATCTTCCCAGTAGCACAAACAGGGAAAACGGAGGGAAGTATTCCAGCAGTACTTGAAGTAGGTACAGGGGATGCTTCACGAGCACTAACATCTTGCACATTTCCTCAGAAGCCTTTTCCCTGCCATGGACTGGGTTATTCCTCTAGCAGCAGCAAGACACTTAATATGGCAGCAGGGTGCTGCTGTTGATGCTACTGGTACATCACAACAAACCTGTTGTACTCTGGTGTGCTATGAGGTGAGCAATGCAAAATAACACCAATGCTGTCGCTAAGCATCACGAAATTAATTACTACCTGTCACCATCAGGGGTAAGGGCTCTCCACTGAATTGGCCACAGACACAGAGTACAGAGTTAGCATTTCTGATTTCCAGTAATGCTGATTTATCTGATCACCACTTGAGTACTAACAGGGCTGTCCACCCTAAAAAAACATCTGGCAGAGACAGAGGCAGCAGACACAAATGTGTGGTCTGAATTAGTTTAATAATCTTCAAGCAAAGGTTGAATATTTGTCTAATATCTGTAACCCTCTCCCCAACACCCATACTGAACCATCTGCTTTTTTAGCAATACCCAAGGAACAGCCTGTTCACAGCAATGGTCAGTTGTGACTCCAGTGCACGTGAAGGAGTCCTGACATACTGGGAGTTCTGCCTTGTCCAGCTTCACAACTACACACAGAAACAGGGCTCATTTCTTCTCCAGGTTGACAGCACAAGGTTAGCACCAACAGTACTGCCGAAAAGTGCCCCAGTTTGAGCTGAGGATGTGCAGTGAAAGCTGAATTTGCGTCATCTGGGACCGGAGAGAGCCAGCCATTGCACAGATAGCTTATGTATACATATCCTGAATCATTCATTGAGAACCAGAGGGAGGGAGTGAAGAAGAGCTGTTCAAAAAACAGGAGCTATTTTTGACAGCATTCATGCAGGAACAAAGTTACTGAGCTTTGTCTAAAGTCTGACATTTCCCTGAAACACCAGGAAGGGCAGAAATTTCATATGTACCTTCCTGGAAATGCCCCTACACCCAAGGGAAGGAGCTCAGAGTGGTGCTTACAGCTAACATGGTAATGCAATTAGCATTCAGGAATTCATGGAGTCCTGTGAGCAATGCAAAGCATAGATACTGTAGACTGATAACCTTATCTTGTCTTCCTTCCCTCCCACTGCTTTGCTAATGACAGTGATGATAGTGGGTCCTTGCATAGCAACTTCCTTTTTGTGATTTCATGGTGCCCTGCACGTAAGTCCCTTGATGCTTTTCATCCTTATTGCATAGAAAGGAAGACTGAAGCTCTGATGGTTATATGAATTTGAAAGGTTGCAGGACAAAATGCAGGTTATGGATTTAATAGAAAAAAGGAAAGAAAAGAAAATAAAACCCAGAAAGGGGACAGAAAATTACCTTTGGCTTGGTCTCTTCAAGCAAAGCTCCAGCAGAGACCAACCACTGCAGGTTTTGATTTCATGTGGATACAGGCTGGTCAAAAACTTGATCAGAATACTAGGAGTTATAAAGTCATAAGCACAAGATGTGACCTGTGCACAGCGTGTGCGTTTGTGTGTGTGCGTGCGTACGTGCACATCTACACAGCCCTACCCCCTCCCAGTCTCCAGTGCATCTATCTGTGCCTGGAGCTACAGGAACCAAACTCTAGCCAAGAGCTATAGAATGGGACCTGGGTGAGATGTGGTGAGGACAAATACACAAAAGCAGCTTATGGCTTGCTTAAACTCTGTTTTTGTATTGAGGTGGCTTTTGGATTTGTCCCTCTGTGTACAAACACCTATTATTTTGTAGTAAACATGCAGGCATTTGAATCTCTCCCCGTTTTTATGCATGGTTTTAAGGTCCACATCAATTTAAGACAGATTTATGTAAGAGAAATGCATATGAGCCCTTCATTGCTACCTGAGTGTATGAAAAAAAGATTTACTTGGGTTGACTTAGGATTGAATTTCAGCTTTCCTTGCTAATGGCCTCCCACCTGATTTGTGCAGGACAAATTAGTCACTCAAACCAGACAGCCATGTTTTCTGGAGAGTCAGTCAGCTCACAGGGAGCATACAGGGGCCTGTCCTTGCCTGTTTCGAGTACTGGTTTGAAAACTTAATTTGAAATATTTATGGCTCACTTAGTAGCAAGAGTGCAGAGCACAGAAATGGCCTGGAGAAGGGCTGTCTGTCCTAGAGGATGTAGATCATGCTAAGGAGTCCAAAGGGAGTCCATTGGATTGACACTGGCTTTCTGTGACTGTTCTGGGTCATTAACCTCACACTAAACCAGATTTCTGTCACAAGCTCCTACTCACTGAGAGAATAACTGCTCCACTTTCATCCCTTGCCATGGGCTGTCAGGTCTGCACAAAACAGCATGGAATTTTCTCTCTTCCTGCTGGCTCCTGAGGAAGAAACTGCACTGCTCTCCCAGGGGAGAATGGTGGTGGTGGGGCTGCCTCTAGGCTTCTGCCTCTGGGGCTGCTTGTACAGGGCAAGTGGAAGGAGAGGGCAAAAACATCAGGTGGTTAAGAGGACAATAAAGACAGAGAAAAAGAAAAAAAAAAAAAAGAAAAAAGGAAAAGAAGTCTCTCACAAGGGCTGCAGGGAGAGCTGCTCACAGTCCTGGGAGATTGCAGGTGGGAAGTAAGAATAAAGTACTGTGCCAAACTCACAGAGGATTTTGTGTTGGCTGGGTTTTTTCCCATACCAAGTAGGGTGTCAGAGAAGATGTAGCTCCAGCTCCACGTCTGACTCATTCCCAGGCATCACCTGTGCTTTCCCAGGGAGCCCTACACTTCTGCTGGGCAGTATGGGCTGGGGGCTGCATCCATCAGAGCCTCCTGGGAAATAAAGCAGCTGAAACAAAAAGTGGATTATGAAAAGCAGTAATGGAAATAGTGGAAATAAATACAGGTGGTCTCTCAAAATAAGAGTAGCTGACTACTTGCATCGTATTCCAGACCCAAATCTTCTTCTTCTGACTAAATAGTCCACTAAAAGTTGATGTCAGGAAACAGTTACTTTTCAGCAACATAAAGATTCAGTAACTCACATGGTTGGGGTTTTATGAGTGGAGGAGCCTTTCAGGCATGTTTGGAAGGTTTATTCTCATCCAGTGTAACTGAAAAGATCTCCTGTACAAAGACAGAGAGACAACTTGGTTGGTCCATGGCCTTCCACCCATCATTCTTGTATTACTTAGTTTTCCTAATGTTATGGCCGAGACTATATAAAAAATTAACTCTTTCTGTGTCTCCATTTCCAGGAGCCATCTACGGGCCATGGGGAGGTTCTGCTCTCTATTAGCTACCTGCCAGCAGCTAACCGCCTTCTGGTGGTGATCATTAAGGCTAAAAATCTCCATTCCAAGCAGCTGAAAGATTTACTTGGCAGTGGTGAGTGTAATAGGAAGGAAACAGAGACTGTTGTTTCTGCTATTATGTAAATCTAGAAAGACAGTGGGAAGGGTAATGTTTGGCAGGAAAAAAAAAAGTTTGGCTAAAGATATTTGAATAATTTCTAAAAAGTGAAAACCAAATATGCCCCAGATCAATATTTCTTATGTGCTCTCTCTCAGACTGATGGTAGTGTCAATTCTCTTGCATTTTTGGGTGCAGTTTTGGGCACCACAATATAAAAAAAACATTAAGCTACTAGAGAGCATTCAAAGGAGGGCCACAAGGATGACGAAGGATCTAGAGGGGAGGCCTTATGAGCAGCAGCTGAGGTCACTTGGTTTGTTCAGCCTAGAGGAGACTGAGGAGAGACCTCATTGCAGTCTACAACTTCCTTGTGAGGGGAAGAGGAGGGGCAGGTACTGATCTCTGTGGTGACCAGGACTCAAGGAAACAGCACAAAGCTGAGTCAGGGGAAGTTTAGGTTGGATATCAGGAAAAAGTTTTTCACTCAGAGGGAGGTTGAGCACTGGAACAGGCTCCCCAGGGAAGTGGTCACAGCACCAAGCCTGTCTGAGTTCAAGAAGCTTTTGGACAATGCTTTCAGGCACATGGTGTGATTCTTGGGGTGTCCTGCGCAGGGGCAGTTGGACTCGATGGGTCCCTTCCAACTCAGCATATTCTAGTCTAGTCTAGTCTACTCTAACCTATTTGTTGCATGGTCATTAATTTGGTGCCTCTTTCCACTTCCCATACAGATGTTTCTGTCAAGGTGACGCTGAGGCATCAGTCCTTGAAGCTGAAGAAGAAGCAGACCAAACGTGCAAAACACAAGATCAACCCGGTGTGGAATGAGATGATCATGTTTGAGGTGCCTCATGAGCTCCTGCATGCCTCCAGCGTAGAGCTGGAAATGCTGAGCCAGGATGGTGCTGGCCAGAGCCACGTGCTTGGCAAGTGCAGTCTGGGCTTACATGTCACAGGTACAGAGAGGAACCACTGGGAAGAAATGCTGAGGAACCCCAGGAGACAGATAGCCATGTGGCACCAGCTACACATGTAGGTTCATCATGATTACTGACAACAAGATTTACACCAGGCCTCCAAGCCTGGGGGAATAAGTTGCATTCCACCTTCCATCATCCCCTCCTCAAAGTTTCTCAGCACAGCACTCTTATTACACCACCCTTCTCTGATTTTCCTGCCCATCCTGGCCAGAGAAACTGTCTGAAAAACATATTTAAAGGATAATCTCTCACCAAACTAAGTGGTTGTCTCAAACAAGAGATTTGGCTGCCTGGATGATTTGAATGAATTTTATTAAAAGCCTGCCCACTGTCATTTCTGTGAGGTCCCTGTTTCTGTAGCAGAGCAGAGGGGAGCAAAGTTATCATGGAACTGTAAGCCACTCCCTGGCATCTGGCACTGTCCCCAAGTCCCTTGATTGAGTGCTGGCTCCATAATCACAAACATCCAATTGTTGTACCAGTCACTGCTTCTCATAATACCTTACAAGACTGAGAGAAATAAAGATCACAGAACTAACTGTCATGGCAGACACAAAGTATCAGTATGAAAGAGAGAGGGAAGCCAACGTGCAGTAAATGGATACCTAGAAAAAGACACAAAACTAAGGGAGAGAACAGAGGATGAAGAAAGGGTGTGACAGTCACCACCATCATCCTGTGCAGCCTTTGAAGCAAACACTGCCAAACAAGAAGTCAAACACCTTACTTTACCTTTGTTTCCTGGAGAGTTTGATACCATGTATTTAGGATTCATGAAAACTGCTGAAAATATGAATGTTTCAGGACCTTTTAGCAGAATGCCTACATCCTTCTATCTTTCTATGGTGTCACCCCAGAAGACCCTTAACACAGACAAAAAGTTATTGTCGTTACCTCCAAAAACTTGGACCAAATCTTTCTGTTTACTGCCATCTTTTCTGTTTGGGTTTTTTTCTGAGCTAGAAAGTTTCAAGTACTCTAAATATATTTCATGCAACATCTAAAACTAGGCAAAAGAAGTGGGATCACTTCATACCTTAGCAGCTGATGGATGGTTTTGGTTTGACAGTTACTATTGCACTCAAGTACTCATACCAGCATTACTCGAAGACAACTCTTAAGAACTGCCATGAATTTCATCACTTCCAGACACAAGGAATTCACTGACCAGACAGACTCTCCAGGGCTTATTTTTTCTGTGTGCACTTTCAAAATTTGATGTGGCTTAAATGTTACTTTTACTGCCTTTTTTGTGTGTGTAGATGGACTGAAAGTCTGGCATCAGTAGTGATGATGTCATGACCCCATAAGCACACTGCCTGTCCTACTATTTTTTTTCAAGTAGTAGACACAAATTCAAGGGACTTGCATGGGGACAAGGCATCAAAAAAATCTGAAAACAGAACCACATAGTTCATAGCACTGAAAATCTCAGAGAACTTCATACTTACTGGGTCAGATTGACCCTCTGTTTAAATCAAAATACTAAGCTAAGCTTTATTTAGTATCCAGCCAATTTTGATCTACCAGTCAAATAAGAGATTGTCTTAGCAGATTGTCAAGTGAAGGCTGCCACCCCGTTGGCAAAGGGAAAACACCAGAACCATTGCCTGAAAACCAGCTGAAGCACCAGGCACAAAGGGTTACGAAGAGGGGAATGAAGTTCAGCTGGAAGTCAGTAACTAGTGGTGACTGAGGCTGGTAGCGAGACTGACACGGTTTACCATCCTCATAAATGACCTAGACAATGGGGCGGAGCATGCCCTCAGTAAGTTTGCAGATGGCACAAAACTGGGAGTATTGGTTGAAACACAAGGCAGTTTTGCTGACATTCAGAGGGATGCTGAGAGGCTGGAGAAATGGGCTAACAGGAACCTCCTGAAATTCAACAAGGAGAAGGCAAAGTTCTGTATCTGGGGAAGAAAAACCCCATGCACCAGTGAAGGAGCGAGGGCTGACCATCTGAAAAGCAGCTTTCCAGAAAAGGATCTGGATGTTCTGGTGGACACTAAGCTGAGCATGAGCCAGCAGTGTGGTCTTGTAGCAAAGAAGGCCAACAGTGTCTTGTGCTGTATTAGGACAAAAATTTCCAGCAGGTCAAAGGGGATGACCCTCCCTCTCTATTCAGCTGTGGTGAAGGCACATCTGGAGAGCTGTGTCTACTTCTGGACTTCCCAGTACCAAACAGGTATAGAGTTTCCAGAAAAAGTGTAGCAAATGGCTATGAAGGTGTTTAAGGGTCTGGAGCATCTTCTGTAAGAGGAGAGGCTGAGAGAGCTAGAACTGTTTAGGTCAATCTGTATAGATACCTGATCTAGGAGAGGACAAAAGAACATAGAGCCAAACTGTTTTCAGTGGTGTCCAGTGACAGGACAAGAGGCATGGGCACAAATTGCAATATAATAAATTCCATTTGAACGCATGAAAAAAACCCTGTGAGGATAGTCAGACACTGGAACAAGTTCCCAGGAGAGGTTGTTGGGAGTCCTAAACCTTGGAAACACTCAAAATCTGATGGGATATAGCATGAAAAACCTGCTCTAACTTATCCCACTTTGAGCACGAGTGGGTTTGGACAATATGATCTCCAGAGGCCCTTTCTATCCTCACTAATGCTGTGACTGTGAAGAGATTGACAGTGCTGATGCACACTGAAAACTGTTATCTTTATATTACTATTCCTTTTATGGGTGGTGTAGCCAGGAGTTACAGGATCATTTTGAAGAGACGATAAAATCAGCTTTGACCAACCAGACAAACAGAAAAGCTAAATATGTCAATAAATATTATATCCAATGTTTTAATCTTTGATATTGATCTACTGGCTAGAGGAGATGTAAACAAAAAAGAAAAATGGCTTGTTGTTTTGCTCTATGGGATTTTGTTTATTAAAAAAAGCTGTAGGATACTGTGTGTAAACTAGACAGGGGTCTAGTTGACAGTGAATTCTTAATAATCGCTGTGATCATGATTCGCTTGTAGATATCCCTATAAATTTGGAATAATTATTTCCATTTAAGTGCAAAATTCATTGGAATGTTGGCCTACTCTACATATAGGTTCCTGGCAGCACTGTGATTCTTTCAGGGTTAATGATAAGAAGGATATTTATGATATGATGCTATTTGGCTGGTGCTGGAAAGCCTGAAGGCCCAAATATTTGCCTTGCTGCCAAGAAATTCCTCTAGCTCTGCATCCTGCTTATTTTACTGAGCCTTTTATAACATCTTGATGGCTGATTGTAAACACATTATCTGCCTGTGCCCTGGTGATTTTGGCACACCCTGTAACAGATAGCAGTCCTATAGCCTTTAAAAGCATAGCTCCTCAGAATCTGACTTAGCTGTGACAAAACAATGTCCTCTTTTACAGCAGAAAAATATGTGTATGCACACTATTTAACCACAAATCTGTCTTAGAAGCAAAGTGGTGCCATCAGTGCTAATGAATAGCCTTGTTTCCTCCTTTGCTGCAGTGGGATTTAATGGGAAAGAGAGAAAGAGTGAAAATGCATGCATCTTTCCAGGCTGGATCATTATTGTTGTCTGGCATTTTATTGTGGAAAGAATATTCTTCGCCATCAGTGCAGCCTGAACAAAGGCCGCCAGGTGTCCCTGGAAGGAAGCAACCACTTGATGAGGCTGACAGCCGACACGTTATGGGTGTGAGGAGTTGAGGAATGTTGCATACGTGCGGTACCGGAGGGGCAGGGACACCCAGCCCGGCTCTTCTGAACTCTGCTAATTGGAGCTGTTTGTCATCACATTCAAGTGTCTGTCCAGAGCTCTGCCCTCATCACTCCGAACCGCCTGTGTAGCAATGCCTGTGTGCCCCTGAGTCTCAGCACCCCAAGGGCCGGAGGTGCTAAACTGCCCTATCAGACAAACGGCGGGGAGTGGTTTTGGTAGATGACAACATCGTGAATATAAATGTGAAGTATTTGGAAATGTTATTGTATCAAGCAGCTTCAGCAACACAAGCTGTCCTACTATCACTGAAGTGCAATAAGGCCAGAGGATGGAGCCAGACAGCCCCACGGTTTTCAGCTCCTGGAGATGACAATACAGGAGGAGCAGTAAACACCACTATGTATTAAATTAAAGGGTGCTGCTTATAAATTATATCATAGAGAAGAGGCAAAATAACCTCCAGTTATGTCAGTTAATGTTCCTAAGATATATGTGTGACCAAAAGCAGACATTAGCATCCCCAGGGGCTAGTCTGTGGTTGGACTGGTTATTCTGCCTGTTATAACTATTAACATGAAGAAACTGGAAGCCAAGAAATTGGAGGAAGGAAGGAAGAAAAAAAAAAAAAAAAAGGAAGGCATGGGGAGGTCTACCTGGTCAGAATGAATGATACTTTTCACTAGGGGTCAGAGTTGCACAGAGATCCACAGTCCCTTATCCAAGGACAAAATCCAAACAACACACCTAGTGTAAAACAGAATGAGAAATGCAGCTCCCCTGTTGTATCCAGCTTTGCTCGGGAGAGGTGCTCTCCTGATGTGGCCTCTGTTCAGAGGAGGGGACTGAGAGGCCAGAGGAAATAACCTGTGACTACGTTAAGGAGTTCCTTGGTTGAAATGCAAACTGTAGCCATATTTTGCTTTGCCTTCACCTGCCCTCAGTGTTAGATCTTCCCAGGGAAATTATCTAGTTTGATTTTAGGCAATTTCTGCTAGGGTAGAAGGATTAATAAGCACAAGTCATCAACAGTCACTAAAATACCTCTGGGATGTTTTAGACTCATTACTTCTCTGTAAGGGGAGTGGTTAGAGCTGTTCCCCTGTAAGGGTAACACTTCTCCAGTGCAGAATTTTCCCCTCAACTGTTGTCCCAAATATCCTTGCATGGTGATAGGAACCATGTTTGCTTTGCAGAGAAGTAATACATCAGAAAGTAATGGAAAATTCCCTTCAACAAGGCTGGGAAAATTTTCAGGCTCTACTATTCTCCAAGGTACTACTGTGCTTTAAACATCTTCCTGAACAACAGCACCTTGCATTTTGCTAGCATCTGTCATCAGTATTATCTGGAAGCAGTTTCCAAAACCACTATTTTTTTTTTTTTTTTTTTCAGAATGAAGTAGGTTGTAATTTGGGCTCTAGAAATACAGCCCAAGATTTGCCCAAATTTTCCCAAAGTCTAAGATGAGTTGAGTACAATACCTTAATACGAGCTGGAAGCTAAGTGGCTTGGACCATGCTTCTTGCACTCTTTTGAAGGTCAGTTTGAAATTTGGTCGAATTAAAGGACAGAGCTTTGGCAGCATTTTTCATGTGTTTCAGAATTTAACTAGGTATTAAAATGTATTTGGTTCATTTGCTGAAAGATAAATGTGATGAGTAAATAGTAACACGTGAAAAAATATTGTTTCTTCTGTTTCCAAAATACACAAGAATAGTAGCAAAGTGAAATAGTGATGTGTGGCCTTTCAGCATGAGGAGGCTTTTTTGCTTACTTGGTCCTTTAGTGTCCCAATGTGTTTATTGTAAAGAGACAGATATTGTTTGTCAGGACTCTATATTGTTCTCACAATCCAAAGCACAAAACCAGAGCATGATGCTCAGCCATTGTGTCTAATATTACAGCACATGTAAAATATTGCAAGTAAATAATTCCAAGCTGTACCAACACTGTGTCTGCATTGTTTACTCCAGGGTAAGTCCCTCTGCTTGCAGCTCATGTCAGGGTACAGAGTGTTGGGATGAGTTAACAGAAGATCCTCTGAAGGGAGTCATCAAGAGATGGGTATATGAGAAGGGGAGCAGTCAGCAGTAGAGTACTATCCTGGGCAAGCATAGAAAATCTATTGGCTTCTTCAGCAAGATGGCAGGTAAATAAAGCTGTAAAGGCTTTCCAGCAGCTGCAAGGACATTAGTGAACAGAATCTGGGAACCAGGTTCCTCCCAGATACTGTCTCTCTGAAATAAAACTAAGAAATTAATTTAGACTTTTTTTTTTTTCCAATCTCAGTACTGATGGTGTTGATGATACTCTGTAAACCATGAATCCGTAAGGAGGAATACATACTTAGCTGACCCAATACCATCAATGGAATTAGCTGGTTCCTAACAAGACACAGAGATCAAAGACCGCACATAAAAAAGTAAGAGAAAACAGATTTTTTGAGCAGGAGGGGGAAGTATTTACCTCATTGACAGTTTGGGGGCATTTTCTCAGCCATCACAGCCAGTGTTAAAATACAAGGAGAAAAAACAAAGGCAGTCTGCCAGAGCCCCAGGCTGCTACTGGCTTCATATAGAGGGGTGCCACCAGACTGTCAGCTGCACAGCAAGGCTGATGCCACTGAAGAATTTTCTGTAGAGGTGAAGGGAAAGATGCTCTATTTTTGCTGCATGGGGAGTTGAACACGGGTAGTGGATTTGACAGGGACAATCCTTCCCACCTGGGGGATTCATGCAGGGTTTCTCAGTAATTCCCACCCCAGCAAATTGAAAAGCAGAAATAGCTGCCAGAGAACCATTCTTCTCTTAACCCTGCTTTCATTGTCAATTCAGATTTATTAGAAGCTTTTTCTCCCCCCAGGGTATTTAAAAATTCAAATGGGACTGTCCCCTAATCCTCTGTCTGCCAGGAGAGAGTGTAAACTAATCCAGCAGCTGTATTACAGCCACTGCCAGTGCTAGACCTGAAGGTCTGCATCCAGTTCCTCCACTTCCCTGAACTCCCAGTGACCAGTGAGGACGGGGCCTCAAGATGTCCCTGAGAAGGTAGGTCAGACCTGCAACCTACACACTATCCAGTTTTCCAGACAGCTCTCCCAAGCACCACAAAGTGCAATGGTGGTCTGGAGCACAGCTCTGCAAACCCTGGCCCTTTGCTGCACATGGCTCCCCCTCCCAGCACTGGGACCTCTGTGAGGCTCTCCCACCCCCGTGTGCCTCCAGGGCTACCACCAGTATCCCCAGAAATAGGGCAACTGACAGCCATGCAGACATCACATTTGTTTTTCCTCTTGATCATAACAACTTCAAACAGGAAACTTCAGAGAATCAAAAAGTCTAGTTAGCGCATACGCTATTCTGTGGGAGCCTTTGATTATCCTGCAGATATTTTTAGAGCCCCTTGTAAATGAACTGCAGCTCTATCTGTGCAACAGCTCTGCCAGAAATAGGTTCTGGTCCCCTGTGCCCACTGCTTGGTGCCACCGCAGGGCTTAGACTTGGCACTGCCCAGACACCCTGTCCCTAACCTCTATTTAAACCCCTTGCAGGGTGCCTGTTTAAACCCACATATGTGCTCAGCTGCCCATGCTTTCCCTTCCACCTCAGGAGAGACAGGGAAGACAGCCCCCAGGAAAAGCTGCAAACCCCTTCTGGTTATGCCTGTAAGCTCTTAGCATCACAGGCACCTGTACTCCTGTTTCTAGGAAGAAATAACACATTTGGTTTTTTTGCTAAATCAAGTTTCAAGTGCCAGCTGCTGACAACAGCCATCTCCATGGAGCACATCCAGGACACCAGCAGAGCTGGGGAAGGGCATGCCAGGCTTTAATGCTATAACAACCATCACAGAGGAATTTTTCAATTTTCTTTCCACTCATATTGTCATGAGAATCAGTGGTCCTAAAAAGGAAGGACACCTTTAGCCCTAGATCAGACAAATTTGTGCAAGCTTCCCTTCCTGACAGAAGCTCAGACTATGCACTTTGCTTTAAGGGATCTTGCTTTTAAGTCCTTGGTTTGAAATTGTCAGCAAGGAGGCTGATTACTGCTACTGCTGATGAACAAAAATCTACAGCACAAGACTGCCTATAGGAAATGAATTACAACCCAACAATGCATTTCACAAGCAGCTCTGTCTCTTTACATATGGTTGAGCTGCTGAAAGTGAAGCACTGTCCAGCTTTGTGTGCTGCCAACTGACTAGCAAAGGCAAAACACCAGACATCAGACCTTTCAAGCTCTGATTGCCAGATGCCCAGCAAACCCAGAGCCCATTAAACTGAAGCTAAGCCCTGACAACCACCAGGATTTTGCTGGGTTTGCTTACTGCTCAAAAAAAGAGCGATTTTAAATCACTACAGTGAAAGTTGCCAGAAAATGGTAAACTGTAATATGTGGAGTGCTTGATGACTTCGGCAAAGTCACCAAAACGACCTTTTCTTTTGGATCACTAATCTGAGGCTATTTTCACTTCTCAGCCTAAAAACTGCCTTTCACTTCCAGCTCCTGTGGCTACTCTCCATTGTTAAAATGTGGAGGCATCTACTCTGAAATCAAAGCTTCTGCACAGCCCCGTTACCTGTGGGGACTGATGGGTCCACTTGCATGCTTCCCCTGGGCCCAAGGTCCTGTAAACCCAAAATTCCCACAAAGCCAGAATTTCCATCCAAATTTCTCCTCCTTTGGGAGGACTAGCAAGCTGCACTGCCACCTTGCAACCAGAACAGCCACCAGAGCAACACAGCTGGGCATCATGTTAAAGCCCAAGACTGTGAGCACTCATATGACTGTGGAGCCTTTTCTAAATGGAGAGCAAAATCCTTTTCATACCATATGTATCCATTGCATAAGTCCTTGTTAGAGGGGTAAACTGCTTGCCCACTTCATCTAACACTTGTTTATCCACTAGTATATATTCCCAAGACCAACTGGAAAACTTGGATCCCTCACACTTGATTAAATTAAAGAGCCAGTCCTGTCAATGCTTTCATCTCTACATAATGAAGCCCAGCAATACTACCGGTATCAACACTTGCAGTATACAGTGCCACATCCATACCATCAGCTGCACAGATTGCTCCTGTGTTTTCTGCTTCCCCTGACCCATGGACACATTTACAGCTAAGCAAGCAACTTTGTGCTGGAAAGATTTTTTTTTTTTTCTGCCTATGTTTCTCTCTAGCTATGGTTAACACCACGTAGCAGGGGTAACCTAAACCTTTGCCAGGTTGTCCCTGCTTGCACTACCATGCAAACCTGAGCTGCAGTGAAGGAAGGGTAACCCATAATCCCTGTGGTGCCTTTGCCATGGGCTGTATCCCCAGTATCAGCCAGGCTCAGCCCAAGAAAGCAATGTTTTCAGCCCAGTGCTAATCCATGGACACACATACTTGTTTCAGAGATTGTTTCTCTTACCCACACTGACTTTATTTTACTCTTATTTCAATGAACTGTTTTAAAAGTTGCACTTTTAGTTAACCCACTGTGAACTCAGCCTCGAGCCAAACTTCACGTTGAAGAATAATTCAAATTTAAGCCAGCCCTTTCTTTTCAGGATAGAAAAAGTCCAATTTGGATTTGGAGCACGCAGAGCTCAGGAAAAGTCTCTCCATCCTTCAAAATAAACCAGGCACACATGCAAGGTTTTGTCAATGTGTATTACAAGCACAGCCCACCACAGCAAAGCCAA